TGTTTTCATTTAAACAGGAATACAGAAGGGTTTTTTTTATGTGTATTGGAATATTAAACAAGCTCGGAATTTAACTACGCTACAGAAGCATCAGACAACCCATACACACATTTACGCAGTTGCCATACTACATCTTTACAACCAGCTTCTGGCGGCGGTCTGACGTAAATCTTGCGTCCAATTTCTGAACCTTGAAGAAATGCTGTCTTGATATCCATAGTGTGAACGCTCCAGTTTCTTTGAGCCAATGAGTTAGGACAAGTCTGACAGAATCTGAACCACAAGTTGGCGAGTCTTTTGGAATGTCTTCTCTGTCTACTTCTTCAAATCCCCTAGCCACGAGTCTTGCTTTGTGTTTAGTTCTTTCATCTGTGTCTTTGAGACTGCAAATCCACCTTGTTGAAATACATTTTTGGCCAATGTCCTTCTCCTCAACATATACATTGTTGTTTTTCCAAGACAAAAGTTCTTTTTGTTTAGCTTGTTCAAAACACACATCAGTCAAGACCATCACCTCCTCACTATTACAAATCTCTAAATCCTGGACTTTTTCCATATCAACTGAAATGTCAGCTCCTTTGTGAGACTCTGGGTTCAAATAATGCAGGTTGTACCAATGTCTATTGTTTCCCGTTGCTTTACCACCTCGTCCAATGACTTTAGCAACACAATTATAACTCTCCCCACTCTGTAAATCTTGATACTTGACAACTTGTCCTTTCTTTAACTCTAATTGTTCGTTATTGCCCTCATGATGTTCGTTGTCCACTCCACCATTTTGTTCATCCAAGTTATCCTGTTCAACTTCAGAGTCACTGCTATTTTCTTCTACGCAATTATCTTTTTCCTGCTGTTGTGCTTTTACTTTGTCTCCTTTGGATTCATCTGCATTGTCTTCCACAGCTGTGTTTGTTTTTCTTATTCTACACTGGTGCACACGAACACAAATTCCTCCATGTCTTACAAAAATAACTGAACCGTCTTGCCCTATAACTACACCAGGGCCTTTCCACTTTTTACTATCTGGGCGTTTGTAGTAAACATGATCTCTATTCTGGTACTGATCACCACTTGATCGTGTTTGTTTCCTCAATGCTCTTCTGATTCTTTCAGAACACTCGCTTTTTGTGAAAGCTGTTCTGGAGGAGTGTAGTGCCTCGATGTGTTTCACAACCAATGTACTCATAGTAGTACCCTCCAGAGCTGGTGGTCTGTCTATTAGAACACTAGGAAGATTGGGGTTACGTCCATATACCAGTTGATAGGGACTAAAACCATGCACATTATGTAGAGCATTTTTACCCATAAGTGCCCAGTTTAATGCTGTCTCCCATTCACAGTAATTTTCAGCTCTTAATTTCTGGAGAATTTCTGTCAGAGTTCTATTATGATGCTCTAATAAACCATTACTCCATGGACTGTATGCAGCAGTCGTTTTCCATATTGAAATTTTCTAACATGTCACGAACTTCTTCATTATTGAATTCACCACCATTATCGCTATACAGACATTTTGAAGCTCCATGTTTTGACAACCAACGTTCAAAGAATTTTTTCACAAATTCCGATGACTTTTTGGATTTCATGACCCAAGTCAAAGTGAACTGCTTATTTTAGCAGTTTATAAACAGTTATTAGGCAGTCTGGCAATTTTTTGGCAGTTTTTAGGCAGTTCTTAACAGTCTTAGTCTTAGCATTCCTTAAAACTGCTTACAGACTGGTTAAAAAACTGCTAAGAATTTGTGTAAGCAGTTCAGTATTGAACAAACTTAAGCAGTCAAACAAGCAGTTTCTCAAAACTGCTAAAAGTGCAACTATAATTCATTTCGACTTCTTATAAGAAGTAATTCAACACTTTTTCACTCTTGGTGGTCCTAACTTTCACTAGCCTTCATTACTGCCCATGTGTTACTGTTAATGCTTCCTGATGATAACGTCACAAATAATTGGGGGCCAGGCAGGAGTTTCTTATACAGAAAATAAAATTAGAAAGAAAAAAATATATACTAAAAATCTTACTAGAAATGATACAATAGTTTATAATAAATTGAGGCTTCATATTATAAAAAGCATGAGCATATGAGCTTCTAATCTTTATCCCATCAACTTGCAAATCCAGTCCTCTAGTTACATTAACAACCTGCTGTGTCCCCCTTGGTTGCTTGAAACTAAAGGGTTGTATCCAATGAGGAAAGCCAGTCAAGATTTGTGCGCCTTTTCCACATCAGTTCAAAATTACAAATTGTGAAGATGTTTGTGATGGTCTGGAATATTATATATATTTATACCCATACAGTGAAGAAGTAAAATATATGCTTTGGAAAATACAATTATCTGTGATCACCACATCCAGGATTGGATGTGAACATAATATTTAGTGACAAGTGTATCTGAATTAAATTCCATGAGATGGGAAATCATTATTATAAAAATCTGATCATACATGCATTCAGCAACAATGGAATTGAGTGATATAGGAAAATTTTTAAAAGATTTGTTGGCAGTAAAGTACTATGCTTCAGAAAATATGGTAAGTGTGTGGGCTTGTGATATAATAGTCATCCCCACTCTCATTTGGATAACTGTTAAACTATAAAACGTATAATCTAGTTTGTATTTTAATTATTAGTACTTAGTATAAATTCAAAATATTTGCAGATAAATTTAAGCTATACTGATAGAGGGATCTGTAGATTAGTCCACTGTATTAATTATAACCAAGCTCTAAAGTTGCCACTCGTTTATGCAAGAAAATGGACTTAATGAAAGGACTTATTTAATACAATTCATACCTGATCTAAATCTCAATACTAAGTTAAATTCCCATATGTGATGTTATTTTTTCAATAGCATAAATTATATGCATTTTTGTATTCATTTATCATGTATATGGGTGGTGTTATCTTCTTATAAGTAGACAAGAATAGTACTTATAGCATTCTTTTTACCGGTTTTTAAGCAGTTAATCAATTTTCAAATTTATATGTAGGTCACTCAGAGTCATTTCCATATAAGTAGAGCAAACAAAAGAAAACACCTTTAGCAGTTATTAAGCAGTTTTTAAGCAGTTCTCCTTAACCTTCCTATTGACTGCTAAGATACTGCTAAGGAAACTGCTAAGCAACTGCTAAGTTACTGCTAATGAACTGGCTAAGTACTGCTTAAATTGTGGACTGCTAAGAAAACTGCCTAATGATCAGTATGACAAAAACCTTCTGCCACCAACAGAGGAGAAGGCTAGTAAACTGTCTAAGAACTGCTAAAGCACTGAACTGTTAAGGTTAAAAAACTGCTAAAGAACTGCCTTCCACTTTGACTTGGGGATGCTCCCAGCACTGAAGCGAGTGAACTCATCAATGACATGTAAGTACCACAGTCCTGGTTCCAATTCGTGAAGGTCCACATGCAGCTACAGTCTCATTGAAGTCTGTTGCTAATGGCAATCCTACAACAGGTTTTGGTGCTGGTCTTTTGTACTTAACGCAAGTTTCACAACTTTCACACACAGACTGTAGCAACTCCGTCGTTTCTTTGTCGGTTGACCCAGCACTTTTCAATAACTGAGCCAGTCTTTCTTGCGTTGCATGTCCAAACTGTTTGTAGAGCTTCATCACTACTTTTTTCTTTTCAGCTTTGTTCATGTTTTCTGTGACCTCTAGGATTTCTTCTTTCAATAAACTGCCCTCGTTTGTAGATGAATCTTTCAGAATTCTTACACAGTAATGTCCACTTGTGGTGAATTCCAAGCTCACTGGCCGATTAAACATACTTGCTCTGTCATTTTTCAAGTCCAGAACTGTTTCTGCCTTTTTTAGTGATGATTTACTTAATAAAAGAGGGATATCAGCTTTTACAATTTCTGTTTCTATGTTGCATTTTGTTTTCCCAATAACAGCCGGTATTGTAGCACGCTGGAACGAGTAGATTATTTTGCCATCTCCAAACTTGAATGCATGACGACTTGTGACTGTTGGTATTTTCTCATGTACTTCCTTATAGAACAGATCAAACCATTTCTCTCCACACACTGTACGGGTGCAAGCTGTATCAATGACTGCCGCTCCTAAAGTCTCTAAGATGAAAATCTCATTCATGGTTGGTTTATCTTTCGTAAGTAAAGTAACATTGCAATCCTCAACCGTGTCCGAGTCACATTCTGCCAACTGTACTGAAGCTCTTTTCTCTGGACAGTCTTTTGCCCAATGAAAAACACTCTGGCATATTGCACACTTTGTTCTTTTACCAAATTTGTTTAGAGGATTTGTCCCTCGTTGCTTGCTGTTCAGTTTCTTCTGTTGTGTGAAAAAAACAGGTTCTTGTTTGACTGTAATGATTGGGTTATCAGTTTTCACATCTGAACTAGAACTCACACTTTCACCAAAAATCCTTTGTAATGCTGACTTCATAGCTTTGTACTTGAGGTCAGTGCATGCAGTTAATGCTAACTGTTTCTCTTGCATGGAAAGTCCTGCATTGTCCAATATTTTTAAAGCAAGAACTGCCTCAGGGAGTGCCATGTCAAATTTTTTGGCCTTGTTATATCGTTTATCAAACTCAACAATGTAATCAGATATTTTCATATTTTCTGTTTTCTTAAACACATCAAAGTTTTTGTAGGCCTCATATGCCTTATCTTTGTCATCTCGAAGAAAAACTTTATCTAATTGTGCCATTAGTTTCTTCATACCGTCTTCTTTCCCTAATTCTTCTGCTGGAAGCTCCATTGCTGTTTCCCTAGCATTTCCAGTCAGGGACAATGACACAGCCAGGGCTTGTTTTTCTTTCTTCAGTTCTGTTAGTAACTTGAAGTTAAGCAACTGTATTGAAGGTATCTTTTCGAATAATTTGGGGGGCCCTGAAAAGGACCGTTTTGTTTTTTTGGTGGCCCTGAAAAGGGTTGTTTTGTCTTTGTCTCGGCATCATGTCTGGTAGTAGGTGTGATACTTTGGATTGCTTCCCTTGGACTGTAGGCAGGTGGGTTTTGGATCGAGTTGTCCTTTGACGTAGGTGCACCCAGGTCTAGATTTTCTTTTACTTGCAGCATGTTGTTTCATCAGTATAGCCTTTCTTTGCATTTCTTGCCTTTTCCTCTTTCTGTAATCCTTTCTGTAGGCGTATTCATGGTCCATGCTCTTTAGGTACCAGTGTGTGTGGTCTGAAAGTGGCAATGTAATGTTGGCTGCTTTCATGGATGTTGCTGTTCCTGGACTGTTGTTTTGTCTAAGAATCTCAGCAGAGAGGATCCCTTCAGCATTTCTGGAATAGTTGGTGTGCTTAGGTAAAACCTCACTGACTGCTCTGTTGAGACCTTCACATTTCTGAGTTGAGGTGTTGAGTTTCATTTCCTCAATGACATTCTGGCTTAGTCGCATCTCTAGAATGACTTTTAGTAAGTGTTCGTCATCATCATTCAAGTGCAGGGCTGTCATTTTATTTGGGGCGAGGAAATAAGACTGATTCCATCAGGTGTGTCTGTCTCCACCACACACCACTGAATTCCTACGACATTTGGACCAGTCTCCAGAGTAGCAGAGGATGGTACTGTCTATGACAAGAGGAAGTTTACTGCAGATGATTTTGATGTCTCCAGTGTAAGTCTCCATGAGTTTCTTATACACTAAGCTGCATCAGGCTTTTACATCCTGTGCAGACTTTTCTCATATGGTCTAACCTTATTCTTGTCTTGCAGGGAAACATTTCTGGGCTGAAGTGGGCACTGCGACACTGTCGGAACTGGGCTCTGCTGAAGTGGGTGGGGTCTGCCAGTCGAGTGATTTGCCAGTCTGGATGGAATATACGCATGGCATCTTGGAATCCCTGAGCTGACCGGGCATCACCGTCTGTTCTGGTGTGCTTCACCTTGAACCCGTCAGCTGCCAGATCTTCACCTATTGACTTGGCCATCTCGTACTCTGAAAGAGGTGAGAATGTTTCAATATTAGATGTGCAGTCTTCATGACCACCTGGACAATGAACATCATAACCATTACCTCTAAGCCAGGCTCCAATCCAGCAAAGTTTGTTCTGCATTGCCACGCCAACTATGTATTGAATGTCAGTGTTGGTCTCACAGGCAATGGCGTAAAATTGTGAGGCATTGAAGCCTGGTTTTTTGCTGCTTCCGAAGGTTATAGAGTTGTAGCGTCCATCTATGGCAATGTCCAATTCCTCTGGATGCTCCTGACCTTTGTCCTGTTTAATGGCCTTGACTAGTTGTCTCTTCTCACCTATGTCTTTCTTATTCAGGGAAACAGTAGCTGCATTGACCTGGTTGCTGGTCCTTTGCATGGAACTTCGTTTGGGAGGAGGAATGTCCAAGGCAGCCACCATTTCCCGACTGCGTCGATTCCCCATGGAGGTGTTCTGCAGGGCTAACTGAAAGTTTCAGTTAATGGTGGCAAGATTAGGACCTGGTTTATCTGAGGTAGGAATTTCCATGTATGGTTTATAGTAATTAGACTGAAAATTACATACCTTGCATGTAAGTCTTTTCTGCCATCCTAGCCCCCATTTCCTCTGTCCTGAATATTCCCACACAGGATAATCACAGTTTTTGGACTGGTTAAAGTGGCCCTTAGCTGCTTCATTGAATATTTCCAGTACCAATTTAATATCGAGAATACGGTTTCCCTCGTACTGACTACAGGTGTACTCATCTTTCACTTCCTTGCAGGTATCAGGCCTGGGTCTAAGAGTTAGTGTCCTTGAGCAGTTTTGCTGGTCTTCAACAGGGAGTTGTCCTGCCTCAGTATCTGTTGTTTCTGGGATGCTGGATGGGGAAGTTTTAGGAGGTAAGTCTTGCCATCTAACCTTATGAGCTTTGATGTGATGTGTATGTAACCCGGGGTCTTAGGGTTGGTTCAGGTTTAGTAGGAATGACTACGTAAAGCTTTCCATCCTTTATTTGCAATAACCAATAGACAGATGTTCAGCTCAGAATATATTTAACCCTGTAACATAGTAAAAGCTCAATAAACAACATTGCAAGAAAGATAACTCTTACGTTCATGTTTCCGAATAAAATAAAAATACTAGTTACTTCCCTTTTATACACAAGACTCAAAAATATTTGCGTCTATTAAAATATCTATGACTGTTCATTATTTTAACAAACAAGGTATTATAAATATACTGATAATATACTCATTCCAGTTTCACTACATACTATCATGTAAAACCTTATTTCACATGAATTCATTAAGAAAATATTTACATGTATGTTTCATCAGTATTATGATCATAGATGTATCATGATATATATTTCAAACATAATACTGGTACTCTAGAAATTATGCTTACCTCACATGAGGTGTAAAGGTCGTTTAACAATAAGTTTAGGCTACGTACATCATCTGATCTTGAGATTCTATGTAAAGGTAAAAATAAATACACTGACTTCAGCTATTCAGTTCACTGTGCTATATCTATAATTACATTACAAATCCTATCTTTCCTTTCAAAGTAAATGTTACACTTATATTTATGCTTTCAATATAATCAGCTATTTCAATAAACATGATAAAACAGGTTTCTAAATATTACTATTATCTCAGAAACAGATATTTATGTATTTAATATAAAGACTATATAGGTATATATAAATCAACTGACCTGATTATGAGAATAAGTTCCAAAGTATAAAAATAAATCAATAAACTGACTGATACTTTCAACAATGACTGCAGCACAGGAACTACTTAACACAATAGACAAATTCCCTCCAAAATTATCACATGATCAAATTCTTTACAATTGACCATAACTGACCAATCAAATACAAGGAAAAGGTATTCCCTCTAAATATAGTTACAGTATGTAAAAGTTAAAAATATTCAAATGAGTGACTTACTAAATTCAAAAGTAACTTACAGTACTATAAATATATTCATATTCAACAAACTCATGTGTTGCAAATTATTCTATAAATAATAATAAATTAATTCATCATTATAAATTGATAAAATTAATTACAAATTTCACTCTGTCACATACTCCCCCTGGTTTGAAAAAATGACGTCCCGACATTTTATTTCACTTCAAAGTCTGAGATGGATGTGACGTCAATATGTCCAGTATTGCCTTCCCCGCTTCAGAACGCAAGTTTTCTAATAAGGGTGAATTAGCTGCTAAAGATGTAAGGCAGTTGATTCTGTCCTTCCAATCTTGTGTCAATGATATCGCAGACTTTGACATCTCGAACTCGTTCGATCTATATCGCATAGGTAGTCTTCGCTCCCTAGTGGATCGACGTAATGGAATCCTCGTCTCTTGATCATTCAAATCTGTACGGGTTGTATCTTGGTCATCAAATGTTTCTTCTTGATTTGTCTCACGTTGCGTAGCGCTACTGTCCCGTATAGAGATATCTTCCTCAGCACTTACTGTGTCTGTAGAAGGATGGGCGTCCCCTTGTACCTCTGTAGGGCCTTGTTGGATATCAGTCTGAACATTAGGTTCACCAATAATATTTGAATTATTGTCTCTCTGTTCTTCCTGACTGAATATATTGTACCTCCATTCCGACTCATCTTCTGAAGAACTTTCATCTAAATCATCAGAATGGGAAAATTTTGGTTCCATTTTCTGTAACTTTGATCTTCTCTTTGCAGGTACAGGCTTTTGGGCTTTCGAGTTTACAGGTGTAGGTGTGTCATTGAGAACTCCTATGGGTAATAGAAGGTTACGGTGCAGTGTTCTGTTACGTCCTTCTCCGTTTTCTTTCTTTACTACAAAAACAGGTATATTCTCATTGGGTTGTCCGATAACAGTGTAGGGATCTTGTTCCCACCTATCTGCCAATTTATGTTTTCCCTCAAAAGCGACTATTTTCACAAGTACTCTGTCTCCTACTTTCACAGTACCACCTCTAAGTTTAGTATTATAACTCTCTTTCTGCTTGGTTCTGGCTTTGTTTGCTGCTTCTGTTGCTAACTTGTGAGCTTGGATTATCCTTTCTCGTAAATCTTTGATGAATTGTATAGTTGGCTCCTTTTCATTCACACGTAAACCAAATGCTACATCGACTGGTAATCTAGGATTATTTCCGAACATCAAAAGGTAAGGTGTTTGACCAGTACTTTCGTGACGGGTGCAATTATATGCATGTACCAGTGGATTTACATATGCTTTCCAGTTGGCTTTCTTACTTGGATCTAAGGAACCTAACATGTTGAGCAAAGTACGATTAAAACGCTCACACATGCCATTACCCATTGCATGGTAGCTGGTAGTTCTGGATTTCTCCATACCCATGATTTTACAAAGTTCCTGAATCACTCGGCTCTCAAAATTTGCGCCTTGATCTGAGTGGATTCTTTCTGGGATGCCATAATGAACAATAAAGTGATTATAGAACATCTCGGCTGTTGTCTTGGCTAATTGATTTCTTGTAGGGATGGCCATGGCAAATCTGGTGAAATGGTCTGTGATAACCAGAATGTGTTTATAGCCTCCCTTGCATGGCTCCAAAGTGAGAAAATCCATACAAACTAACTCTAATGGAGAAGTGGTTGCTATGTTTACCAAAGGTGCACGTTGATTGGTAGGGGTCTTTCTTCTGGTACATCTACCACATTCTTCAATCCAGGTTTCTATGTCTTTATGCATCCCTGGCCAGTAAAATCTGTCGCGAATTAAGGATAATGTCCTGTCCTTGCCAGGATGACCCATGTCGTCATGAAGAGCTTCGAACACTGCAGACGCATGTTGAATGGGTAACACAAGTTGATGTCTGGTTTCCTCATCCATACATGTCACACGATGAAGTACTCCATTTATGAGTTTCAGGTGGTTAAACTGTTTGTGTAAAGCACTGGATCCTATCTCTCTCCTTAATGGTTTCTGTTTACTTCTAACATACTCAATGACACGGTGTATATCTGGATCTAAGGATTGTGCTTTAGCCCAGTCTATGATGTTACCAGTGCTGGTACCTCTTGGATCCATATCGTCATGTATGACATCAGGTGAAAGAGTCAAAGATTCTACATATGATGAAACAGCAGAATTGCAGATAGCTTGGACTGTCTCAATGCTCATAGGAATTCGGCTTAAAGCATCTGCATCAGCATTACTCTTTCCAGGTCTGTACTTAATGTCGAAGTTAAATGCTGCTAAAGCTGCCAACCATCTGTGACCAGTTGAGTCGAGTTTTGCTGTTGTTAATACATAAGTAACCGGGTTGTTGTCGGTAAAAACTGTAAACTGTTGTCCGTATAAATAGTCTTTAAATTTATCGCAGATGGCCCATTTAAGTGCTAAAAATTCTCTTTTGTGTGGTGGATAATTCTTTTCTGCTTTGTTTAAACCTCTGCTGGCATAGCTAATAACACGTTTAAGTCCATTTTGATGTTGATATAGTACAGCTCCTAAAGCATCACCTGAAGCATCAGTGTGTAATTCATAAGGGAGAGAACTGTTGGCATAACCCAGAATAGGTGCAGATGTCAGATGTTTCTTGAGTGTTTCAAATGCTTGGTCTTGCACTGTTCCCCATTTCCACTCTTTCAATTTCTTATTCTTTTCTGTTTTCTTCTTCAGTGGTGTTGGCATGAGGTCTGTTAAGGGTCTGCTTATACGGCTGAAGTTTTCAATAAATCGCCTATAGTAGCCGACAAAACCAAGAAATTTGCGAACTTCTTCAGGACTGTTGGGTTTTGGCCAATTAATAACTCGTTCTGTCTTATCTGGATCCATTTCGACACCTTGTTCTGATACGACATGACCAATAAACTTCACTTTCCTCTTAAAGAATTCACATTTTCCAGGGGATATCTTCAGATTTGCCTCTCTAATGCGGTTAAATACTAATTCGATGTTGTGAAGGTGTTCCTCAAAAGTTTTTCCAAAAATAATGATATCATCTATGAAAACACAGCATATATTCAAGTTGTAATCTGCTAGTAGATTTTCCATTAGTCTTTGGTAGGTTGCTGGTGAGTTGGTTAAACCGAAAGGCATACGGTTATATTCAAAGAATCCTAAGGGTCCAACCGAGAATGCGGTGCGTTCTTTGTGTTCTTCATAAATCTCCACCTGGTGGTAACCGGATTTCATGTCAATATGTGAAAAGAATTTGTTTCCAGATAAACAATCAAGTAGTTCTTCAATCCTTGGAAGGGCATAACTGTCTTTCTTGGTTAATTTATTCAATTGTCGGTAGTCGACGCACATCCTGAGAGTACCGTTCTTTTTTCTCACTAACACTAGATTAGACGCATAAGGTGAATGGTGAATGAAACGTCATCCCATAATCACGTTGGGCGCCATTGTAACCCGGGGTCTTAGGGTTGGTTCAGGTTTAGTAGGAATGACTACGTAAAGCTTTCCATCCTTTATTTGCAATAACCAATAGACAGATGTTCAGCTCAGAATATATTTAACCCTGTAACATAGTAAAAGCTCAATAAACAACATTGCAAGAAAGATAACTCTTACGTTCATGTTTCCGAATAAAATAAAAATACTAGTTACTTCCCTTTTATACACAAGACTCAAAAATATTTGCGTCTATTAAAATATCTATGACTGTTCATTATTTTAACAAACAAGGTATTATAAATATACTGATAATATACTCATTCCAGTTTCACTACATACTATCATGTAAAACCTTATTTCACATGAATTCATTAAGAAAATATTTACATGTATGTTTCATCAGTATTATGATCATAGATGTATCATGATATATATTTCAAACATAATACTGGTACTCTAGAAATTATGCTTACCTCACATGAGGTGTAAAGGTCGTTTAACAATAAGTTTAGGCTACGTACATCATCTGATCTTGAGATTCTATGTAAAGGTAAAAATAAATACACTGACTTCAGCTATTCAGTTCACTGTGCTATATCTATAATTACATTACAAATCCTATCTTTCCTTTCAAAGTAAATGTTACACTTATATTTATGCTTTCAATATAATCAGCTATTTCAATAAACATGATAAAACAGGTTTCTAAATATTACTATTATCTCAGAAACAGATATTTATGTATTTAATATAAAGACTATATAGGTATATATAAATCAACTGACCTGATTATGAGAATAAGTTCCAAAGTATAAAAATAAATCAATAAACTGACTGATACTTTCAACAATGACTGCAGCACAGGAACTACTTAACACAATAGACAAATTCCCTCCAAAATTATCACATGATCAAATTCTTTACAATTGACCATAACTGACCAATCAAATACAAGGAAAAGGTATTCCCTCTAAATATAGTTACAGTATGTAAAAGTTAAAAATATTCAAATGAGTGACTTACTAAATTCAAAAGTAACTTACAGTACTATAAATATATTCATATTCAACAAACTCATGTGTTGCAAATTATTCTATAAATAATAATAAATTAATTCATCATTATAAATTGATAAAATTAATTACAAATTTCACTCTGTCACATGTATTACCTGGTTTGAAGCCCCAGTTAGGATTTTTTCTTTTCTTTAGGTCACCTTTCATTGTTTCCTTGTACAATCAATACTTGGAAATGAAATTAATAAGGAATAGAACAATGTTTATCTAGCAAGTTTTTAAAAGGTTTATACAATTATTTCTCTCTCTGACAATACCCTGTCAAAACAGACACCCCTGGGGCTTTTGGATTACCTTTGTTAAAAACTTACAGCCAATCAACTGCACATGGCCCCTCTTGACACTGTGTAAGATTGAGTGGGGATGGGGTTAGAACACTGTTTATTATGAATAACTAGTACACTTTTACTAGTAATATGATACATGGTTTGAAACATGAGGAAATGTACTATAAATGTGTACCCATTTTGTCACCCTCAGATTTCCACATTAAAATCTAAGTGACTTTATCTATCTTTTTTAAGGGAAAATTCAGCATGTAGATGTGGTACTTCCATATATACACAAGAAAGCTGCGGTGCCAGAGTTTATCATCATGAATTATTTCAACATGTGTAGTTATGTCACATTCCATAAAAAAGTTTTATTCATTATCTTCTTGTGTTCCCAAATTTTTATTTTCAAATTTCACATTCACTAAAATTTTCTTGTATTTCACAGAGTACCCCTCCTTAAAAAGTAGGTCAAATTTTACACATAGTTATGAATGGATTTTGCCGAAACTTGGTATTGTGATTTATTAATACCCAAGGTTTACAAAAATGGACATAAAAAAATATGATTTTTTTGCTACCATATAATACAGAGTGTAAATGTGAAACTAAAACATGTGGTCTGCTGCAGAGGAAATTCAGCTGAAAAGCAGGTAGGGTTCATCAGAAGGTCTGTATCTCTGAGGGAAGGTGAATGGCCCCAGATCAATTAGTGAAATTTTTCATTAGGGCATGCATTAATTTACAGGGTGCTGGGTGTTTTATCCCCCTTGCTTGGGCCTGGGTTGGGGCTATATGGGTGTGGGTTAGGCCCAATTGTTGAAAAATTAAACCAAAATCTGGGGGGGGGGGAGGGGGGGGGAGCCCAATGCATTTTTGGTACACATGCACTTAAATATGTAGATTACATGTTATATGTTGACATATTTTTTAAGCTATGGGTAAATGAAATTCAGTTAATTAGCCTTCAAGAAACTGTCCCCATGCACTTACTGTTTTCATTGACATTATGTATATTATAACCTACCCCTTCAGCACATGTTTGGCATTAAAAAAAACTGTCCCCTTCCACTTAAACCTTAATTTCAATCTTTATTTGTTACATTGCATTCATTTTAAAAAATAAAACAAAACATCCATTTTAACGTCTTGACATCGGTGCTTAGGACTACTGGGCTGGCTATTATCTACAACCTGACCATTCTTGCTTGTTTTGATAATTATCTAATCCTTTCGTGACAAGTGTATTGTCATGGATTGATGTATAATTCAGTTGTGATGTTTATTTATCACTGTTATTATCATCATTCTTTTGATTTCTGCACCATTTTTTGTATAAAACATATTTTAATATATAAACCAGACCTAAACCAAAATCCAGAAAAATGGAACTGAAACCTAACCGAATAACTTGGACCACGGTTTTTGGTTATTTCGGGGAACTGTGACAGCCTGACACATATTCCTGGTATTTGAGATAAAGTTAAACTGTCATTTTAAGAGGCATGTCAGTGCTGATACATGTTCATAGGATAACATGTACTCATTGAATAATTCCACATTAAGTGCATTTCTAATTTCGAAGGTCAAGCAAGAATCTCTCTGACAGCAAATTGGTGTTGTGCCCCAGGATACTGTCTTGTTTAATGCCAATATCCACTATCATATACGATATGGTAATGTTGATGCTAATGACAAACAGGTGGAAGACGCAGCTGATAATGCAGATATTTATGAGAGAGTTTTGTCTTTTTCTGATGCTAAGGATGTCATACCTCACATTAAGTTTGTAGAAATTAAACCTCACATTAAGTTTGTAGAAAATAATAACATGACAATGTACATATGTATTAAGCATTTTATAAGTATACTAAATGCATTGTAGGGTTATGATTCTCTTAAGATAATAAGGGTCCCACTTGGCAAGTTCTCTGCAGTGATAAATTTTCTTCATGTCTGTTAATCACCTGTCTGCCAATATGTCTGTCCCTTATCACTTAACCTATACATGTATCTCTTGTGTTAAATACATATGTACATGTATATCTTTTCTCCCTTTGATTCAGTATGATTCAGTATGTCTCTTAATAATTCATTCACTATACAGTGTCTTTGAGTAAAGGGTGTGATTTGCTCTCAAATTCCGTTTTACTGTTACAGTACTGTATTTTAAATACATAACAAATGAGTATTTACTAAATTGATTATTATTGGCTATTATAAGATACATTTTGGTGAACAAGAGTTAATCTTGACACCTATTTCAGCACCCTCCCATAATTACCCAGAATGCATGGTACTCTCTTGGTCAATTTCCTTTCAATGTTTTATAAGATCTAAAGTTAATTTTTGAGGCTACTTGCATTATTATGCCCCACCATGAATATGGCCGGGGCATATAGTGTTTGTCATGTCCGTCTTCCGTCCTTCTGTCACACATTGCATTTAGCTCTGTTCAAAGCTCAGTTTCAAAGAAACTATCCAAGATATTTTTATCAAACTTCATATGCTGATAGATATTGATGAGAGCTATGCAATGCATCAACATTTTTTGACCTTGACTTTTCCTTTGACCTTGACCTCACTTTTCTTAAATTAGTGTTTAGCTCAGTTTTAAAGATACCATTCAAGATAGTGTTATCAAACTTCATATGCTGATACAAACTGAGGAGAGCTATTCAACTGCATCAACATTTTTTGACCTTGACCTTTCTTTTGACCTTGACCTCACTTTTCTCAAATTAGTTTTTAGCTCAGTTTTAAAGATACCATTCAAGATAGTGTAATCAAACTTCATATGTTGATACATACTGATGACAGCTATTCAACTGCATCAACATTTTTTGACCTTGACCTTTCTTTTTACCTTGACCTCACTTTTCTTAAATTAGTGTTTAGCTCAGTTTTAATGAAACCATTCAAGATATTTTTAACAAACTTCATATGCTGATACATACTGATGAGAGCTATTCAACTGCATCAACATTTTTTGACCTTGACCTTTCCTTTGACCTTGACCTCACTTTTCTTAAATTAGTGTCAAACTTTATATGCTGATACATAGTGATGAGAGCTATTCAACTGCATTAATATTTTTTTGCTTTGACCTTTCCTTTGACCTTGACCTCACTTTTCTTTAATTAGTGTTTAGCTTAGTTTTAAAACCATTCATAATATTTTTATCAAACTTCATATGCTAATACATACCGATGTAACCTTTCAACTGCATAAACAATTTTTTTTTTGACCTTGACCTTTCATTTGACCTTTGACCTCACTTTTCTTAAATTTGTGTCAAACTTCATATGCTGATACATACTAATGTAAGCTATTTAACTGCATCAATATTTTTTGACCTTGACCTTTCCTTTGACCTTGACCTCAATTTTCTCAATTTGTGTTAAAATGTTGCATTACTAATATACCCTCGGTGGGGCATTCATGTCCTATGGACATATTTCTAGTTTTTATAACTGTTCTGCAGGTTATTATTATAACACAGTGGTTGGTGAGAGAGGACTTAAGCTAAGTGGGGGAGAGAAACAGAGGGTGGCATAGCCAGGGCTATACTAAAGAACCCCCAGATTTTCCTGCTGGATGAGGTAATATATATAATGTGAACCTGACAAAGGTCAATTTTGTATTTACACAATGCCATGGTTACTGGTGGTGAAGAATAGATAGTGGTAAATGATATCATGCGTGGGTGGATCTAGAGGGGGGGTGAAACCCCCCCCCCCCCCTGGAATTTGCAGAGTTATTGAAAGTATATACTGAAGCAAATAAAAAATGACTTTGGACCCCCCCCCCCCCCCCCCAAGAAAATGTGGACCCCACCATCACCACCACAAAATGGTGTTTTTCATGTTTTGAAAATAGAATTAAAGTTTGTTTTCTTTTTGGATTGTCAACAAAGAACTACGCACGGTAACTCCCGATTCCCACCTACATTTTACAACCATTTAATTCAATATTGATGACAGTTTGGCCATAAAATCTTTGTTTAATACAAAGAACAGTTCAATGGTAATTGATTAATTATTTTAATTCCAGTGCTAAATAGTAAAATATTCCTAATTCCAGCTCTTGAAATAAGGGGGGTAGACAATATTTTCCACTGAAATCGGGCTATAAAGCATCACCATATTCTGAAATAGTCTTGGATATGAATAAATGTTTCTTAAATCTTTTCTTATGTTGTATGCATATAAAATTAAGCATATATATTAGTAAAATATAATGTTTCAGTTGTAAAGCACTTGGAAATTGCTGAAAAAAATAAGCATTTTTGTCGTTTTTTGTATATAAACATATGTCCCCCCCCCCCCCCCCCCCCCCGAAACACAAAAAGCTTTGGTATGAATTTGTGAAATGACAGTCCATATTACCCGTAAAAAGGAATTTTTGTTTCACGGGGGGGAAAGATGTTTTAAAAATATATTCCGTTTTCCGTTGATTTCTATAGTGAAAAACACGAGTACTAGTTTTGCCAAAATTTTAGAGTTATCTCTCGTTGTTTTCCCAAAGAAGTAATGTTTTATGAAAATCCATATAAATATCAATATAAATATTAAAAATCACTCGAATATCTTAACTTTTGAAAATTGACTTGGAGGTAGGCAGGAGAACAATACTATCGTTCGCAGTTCTTTTCTGGGTTTAATCAATTGGGAATGGAATTTAAGTTTTTTTTTTTTTTTTTTGACTAGGGTGGACCCCCCTGGAAAATATTCCTGGATCTGCGCCTGCATATCATTCTGTGTGTTTATTCACAGACCTCCATTCTTATTTTGTAGGCTACATCTGTTATGGACACTTAAGACAGAACGTAATATACAAACACCCCTGGAGAAAGTTTGTGAGAACAGAACAACCATCATTGTGGCTCACAGACTTTCCACCATTACACATGCTCATCAGATCCTAGTTATGAAAGAGGGGGTGATTGTTGAAAGGGGAACGTAAGTAATGAGAGGGGGTTATTATCATACATGCTCATCAGATCCTATTAATGAAATAAAAATCTAGCAATTTATTATAGGAATGATATATGTAAACCAAATGTTTTTTATCGTAGGTTCGACTTAAGTGGTGCCTTAATGCCCTCAACCAGAGACAGGACTTTCGAGATGTCATCTTTGTGGATGAAAGCACAGTTGAGATGTCAGCTCATGGAAGACTTTTCTTTCATCAGGACTGCTCTAGACTGCAGAGAAAGTGTGCAAGTAAGTCTAAGCTGAAACATGCCTATAAGGTAAGAGAATATCACTGTATATGTAATAGTTGTTATCAATCCTTAGGTAATGAACACTAAGTGTATCTATTGTTTTACCTTTTTTTCTGTCAAGGATATATTATGTAAATCCTTTGCAATCCAAATCAAGTTAATAAAAATGTAAACTTCGTATTGAACGTCCAAGTCTTTTCCCATTTTCTGCATGTGGGAAAAAGGTGTTAAATAATGTTTTAATGTATGTTGTGTTTCAGGTTCATGTATGGGCTGGAACAATATATCTTATCAAGGCCAGACAAGCATTTGTGTCTTCAATGGGGTGATGGATTCTGTCATTTATTAAAGAATACTGGCTCAAAACTTTATTCCATTTGTTGAAGACAAGGTTCCTGATGGATATCGGTAGTACCAAGTAAGTTATCTACTTCTTATTTAAATATTTATTTTGTTAATCAGTGTTTGGTTGCAAGAAATCATTATGCTGTAATTCAGTGTATAATGAAAATTATTAACAACTCTTAATAAAAGTATATTTATTTTTGAGAAGTTATATATGAATATGTACAAGTAGTCATGTACATGTATACATTTCCCTCAAATACTATTATATTATAGAATTGATTTTTAAAAACAAAAAAATTAAAAACTGTTCATATTTATTTTTTTCTGATTTTCCTTTCATTTGTTTTATATCAACAGGACAACAGCAAGCATAACTCAAAATCACCAAAGAAATGGATGGAAGACAATGGGGTATTAGACAACGTGATGGAAACGCCTGCCTCATCACCAGATCTCAACCTGATAGAGAATGTCTGGGCATCAATGAAGTATTACCTGCAGACCAAGACCAAGCCAAGGACCAAGGATCAGCTTGTTGGAGGGATAAAGGCGTTTTGGGAATCCCTGACTCTTGACCAGTGTGGCCGCTACATTGACCACATCCACAAGGTGATCCCTTATGTCATATTGAATGATGGTGAAGCATCCGGATTTTTATTTATAGCTGCAGTGCATATAATGAATGATTAATGGATTATGGACCCCCCACCCAGAGTGAAAGTGTTCTGTCGGAATTCTATAATCTTTGAAAATTCCAAATGTACAAATATCTTTTAAATGATATGTGATTTTGCCTTATCAATTGAAATTTACATGTTATATGAATATGTTTTGTGAATTGACTGAAAATAGTCTTAATATGTATATGTGTTTTTGTTTAATGTATGGTTCCATTTGTATGTATTTTTTCACCATCACAAACATTTTAATGTACATTGTAAATATAACTTGTATGAAAAATCTTTTCTAGCTTCTGGGTTCTAATTTTGCAGTTTATATGTACATGCATAGTGAAGAAGAAGGTGTGCCAAGACTTTGTTTCAAGTGTGTAAATGTATAATTTCTTAGTTACATTATTCAGTACACAACTGTTTGAAGTATATTTAACCATCATCGAATAAATCAGTGAAGTGAAAAATGTGTTCCGGCTCTGTGTACATGTTAAGGATCAACCCTTTTTATATAAATGTATATATAAAGGCATCCATGCAAATACTTTATTTGAGCAGTTGTACTGAATTTTCTTTGTAAATAACACAGTTTAAATAAATAAATAAATAAAACATCTTAATTGAGGAAAAACTGATTTTTAAGTATTTGTAAGTAAATGCCTTAAAAGAGCTTTCTTTGGTTATTCGTATGGGAATGAATGTTGCAGAAAAATTAGATAACCCACTTCAGGCTTGTAGGAAGCAATTCAGTGGGTGGGTGGTGGGGGTGGGGGGTGGGTTCAACCCAAATATTCAAACATATTCATGCAGTTTGTGGGAAGCACGACAAAAATTCTTCACAAGCCAAAATAAAAAAAAAAACCCAGGTCATCACGTTATTATTGAGGTCATTTGAGGTGGCACAAGCAATAGTAATTATATTTCCTATACAGCTGTTGTATTCTATAATATTTGGGGGGGGGGGGGGGCACAACTCCGGTTCTTTAGGCCATGCACTTACATGTACAAGGGTTATGTGATTTTTTTTCCTGCAATAGTTGCAATGCTTTTCCCATGCTAATAACATATTTTATTATTGTATTTACAAGATGTACAGCACTACAGTGATATGTACATCACTATGTTTTACTGAAGGAAGAGCTCTATAGAGGTGACTTACTTAGCAGCATCAAAATTGATAATTGAACATGGGTTTTTGAAGATGCATGTTTAAAGATCATACTTAGTGGATGCAAATATAATGTAATTAACAGGTTAAAAAGTGATTAGATGGGTTTGATTGTGGTACAATTACAAAAAGCCACTTGAAACATCAATACTGTAACAGTCACTAGCTTCCATACATGGCTATCATTAAAAATAGTTTTCGTGTGATGTACTTTGACCCACATTTCTCAAGGTTGGTTGTATTTTTTTGGTGGTGGGGGTGCTCTCTCTAACAGAGTGATAATTGCCAATAAAGTCACAAACTCAGAAATTTATTGGTGTTTTTATGTTACACTGGACAGTTTAACAGATTTGATATTAACTTTCAGTGGTAAAACGAAAAGAAATGGTAAGCCTTTACTTTAAAAATGAAACAATCTGTAATTCCCTTGATACCCAGATAAAAAAAAAATCTAAATTTTAAAGTACTAAAAAAAAAAAAGATTGGTTAGGGGCATTTTATAGGGTTGGTCAGAGTACATCAAACAATTATTTTTTTATTGGCCTAAGCAAGGTTTTAGACTTTTAGTGGCTACAAAATGCTACAATCTTGAATGATACAAGCATATACTAGACTGTGATCTATCTAGGGATAACAATGGTTCTATCTTACAGTGTGGTCTACACAGATCCAGAATAGCAACTAGGCTCCTGAACTAGCTCATCTCTGGTTTGATCAATGATCCAAACCAGCAGTAATATTATTGATTCCTATTGCTACATTATAGCTCATATTCTTGTAAAAAAAAACAAAAACAAATTTCAATAAGTCTAAGATGAAACTTTATCTTTTTTTTTTAAGGAGGCTGGGGGGTCAACAAATTAACCATCAGATATTACTTATTTTTTTAGATATAATATCTTAAGCTGTCAACTATCATTTTGCAAAGAAAAATTCATACATTTTAGTTTTAAAATTTGATCATTTTTGTATATCTTTATATGGAGCTCTTCTTCTTAAGGAGATCAATATAGTCTAGAAATGGCCACGACCACCCAGCCCTCTTAAATAAATAAATAAATAATTCAACATGATTTTAAGTACATTTACATGTACATACATCTTCTGACTCCATGCATGAACTAAAGGAATATGTTACAAGAAGTACAAAAGATATTATGCAAATTGTAATCTTAAGTATTCAATAATTGTGGAATGTATGTATTTTAAAAAACAAAAGAAAAATCCCTATGGTACTGTAGCTTTTAATGGACTGGACTTAAAGCACCCTATATAGCAACATCAAGAATCATCAACATCCCAGAGAATGAATGCCACTGTTGATGCTGTTCACCGCCTTGGTGAATTCCTTATAGGATGTTCCACAACACCAAATGTAAGCATGTGTAAGTGCCCTCTTCCTTCGGGGAGATATGGGTTTTCTTCCTTTTCTACCAAAGAAATTCCTCTCATCAAGTTCATCTTCTCTGAATAACTTCCTTGTAAGAATCCACATGAAGTTCCCATCAGAGCAAGCTGTGGACTTCACGTCAGGTAGGATATCTCGTCATATTCTGAATTCAAAATCTCCAGGGACTACATCAGTGACGTCCTTTATTTCTAGAATTGTTGCCATCGAACTACAAGACACTGTCAGAACCTGATCTTTTTTTGGCCTTCTTCCTGTTGTTAACCCTATGAGCCACTTCCTGAACTGGGGTACAGGTGACACTATCTTCTGCCCCCTCATGATCAACGTTTTCCTCAGCAAAGAGAGTCTTCTTGGCTGGTAATGGTGATGAACGACGAGCATGTTGAGTTGAAGACCTTGATGGTGAAGAGAGGTGAGATGATGGTGGTGATCTTACTTGTGAGGAGCTGCTGATTGGAGGTGAGGAGCTGTTGACTTAAGGTGAGGAGGGGCGCTTCAGAGGAGATGAGCGGCAGGCAAGGCGTGGTGATGACCTGAGTGGTGAAGCTCTGCAGGCTAGAAGTGGAGAGGACCTCAGTGGTGATCTTAGTGGTGATCTGAGTAGTGATAAGCATTGAGCTTTAACGGGCGAAGGTCTTTTCTCTTTCTGCTGAAGCACCTCTATCACAGGTGTTGCAACTGAGGGGTAACGTGCCAGAATTTCCACGATAGAGTCCTCCACAGACACAATGGTGATAGATGGTAACCCTGGCTTGGGGGTTGATGTATTTTCTGTAACCCATCCAACAATGTCACTTACATTGGGAATGTTGCTGGTCTTTAGGGAATAGTCAGCAGCAGTAGCATGTAGAAGACAGAGAATCTCATCTAGTTTGCCATTAACTTATGATAGGTCACCACCATACGAATCTGTTTGCACACTTGTTTCACAAGAAGAAATGGAGTCTGTTTGAGTTGACACAGTCTTCCTCTTCTTCCTCCATTCTGCTTGGCAAAAAGGTCTGTTATCTCAGTCTCATCTTGAATGACAACAACTTTCTCTTTTTGCGAGGAGGTGCAGATCTTGTTGTCTTTGAAGTACCTCATTTGAAGACCAACCACTTCACTCTCATCTGTTGAAAGTTCCTTAAAGTAGCAGGGCTCACGACGGGGGGTAGCAATAGTAGAGGCTCTTGCAGCAGCTGATCCCTCATATAGAACTGTAACTTTCCTGCCTTTCAAACCCTGAAATGTTAACACAATCTTATAAAGTTGTAAAGACCTAGAATTGTCTTAGGACTACATCATAATACATTGTACTTCTGTACAATTAGATCCGGATGGGTCTTGGTCACTCAAATTAAAAATTGTCTGTTTGTATTTGACAATGCCTACATTTTCTTTAATCTTACAGTTAATTGCAGTTCATGTATACTAACTAGTGAATGACTGATGATATGTATAGGGTAGGAAAACAACTACTGCATATGGAATTTTTTGCCATTTTCCCACTTGAAAACCATTTTGCTTGGTTTTAAATTTGTACAGTCACATTTCTTTTTAAGAAATAATACTGTCTTCTTTGAATTCACAATGTTTTAAATTCACCCACTTGTGACAAGGGCAAAAGGGGCGACACTGACACTTGGGTGAAAGTTTCTCTGTATACAGTATGATTTACCTCTATTACTCTGCTGGAAGTCTGCTCACGTAAGACTGGTTCTTCATTACTTTCATCCTCCTATAAATAATATACAAAATCACATATAAGATAGTCACTATTTTGGAAAAATGGTTTGACATCAAATTTGATTCCCATCATTCAACACCAAAATATGAAATATTTTACAATATATTGTAGGATCAAGGCAAAGCTTAAACAAGAGGCCCATGGGCCACAGCGCTCACCTAAGTAACTTTGGCCTTGCTGTTTTCACCTGATTCCCCCCCCCCCCCGTAGTACTTATTGTGGCCCCACCCTACCCCCGGGGGTCATGATTTGAACAATTGGAATCTACACTACCCCAGGATGCTTCCAAGTAAGTTTCAGCTTATCTGGCCCAGTGGTTCTTGAGAAGAAGATTTTTAAAGATTTTTCCTATATATTTCAATGTAAAACTTGGATTCCCTATTGTGGCCCCACCCTACCCCCGGGGGTCATGATTTGAACAATTTAGAATCTACACTACCCCAGGATGTTTCCACATAAGATTCAGCTTTTCTGGCCCAGTGGTTCTTGAGAAGAAGATTTTTAAAGATTTTTCCTATATATTTCAATGAAAAAATTGGATTCCCTATTGTGGCCCCGCCCTACCCCCGGGGGTCATGATTTGAACAATTTAGAATCTACACTACCCCAGCATGCTTCCACATAAGTTTCAGCTTTTCAGGTCCAGTGGTTCTTGAGAAGAAGAATTTTAAAAGATTTTTCTTATTAATTTCAATGTACAACTTGGACTCCCTATTATGGCCCCGCCCTACCCCCGGGGGTCATGATTTGAACAATTTAAAATCTACACTACCCCAGGATGCTTCCACATAAGTTTCAGCTTTTCTGGCCCAGTGGTTCTTGAGAAGAAGATTTTTAAAGATTTTTCCTATATATTTCTATGTAAAACATTGATTCCACATTGTGGCCCCGCCCTACCCCCGGGGGTCATGATTTGAACAATTTAG